TCTTTTCTCTTGGAGAACTCCCTCAACATTTTCTCATGATATTTGGCAACTCCTCTGTTACGTGCAGTCCGAGCATCACGGATGGCCCAGTGAGCCTCTAGAAGTTTTTTCCTCCACTGAAAGACAGATTTCAGTTGCTTTTCTCTCATGGCTTTCTGAGAGGCTTGTACTTGTCGAGTTAGCTCCATACGCTGTCGCTCACATAAACGCACAAACTTTCTATAAGGCCTATCAGGCATTGCCATTATCTCTTGCTGTTGTTGATCAATTTCATCCCTTAGACGTGCCTGTAGATCTAAAAGTCGAAGCTTCTTTTCTTCAATTTGCAAGCGTACTACCAAATCAGGCCTGATCCTTTTCCGCTCTAAGTTAACAGCAAGCAAACCCCCAATCTTCTTTAAGTTTTCTGTCCTTTTCTTACTAATAACTTCCAACCCTTCCTCAAAAAGAAGATCTTTGACATCATAAGCCAACGTTAAATTGTTATTGTTATTAACTGACATTGCTGAACCAAACGAGTCGTGTTTCCTAGTGAAATATGGGAAGTCAAAAAGAGGTCCATGATACTTCCTAGCAGAGGCAACATCTTTTGACTGGGGTGTAGTACTTGGTGGTGCAGGTTTTTTAACTTGTGTAACATCTGGTATAGCAGCCTGGTTTGCAATAGCCTTTCCCCTTTCAACTGGAAAGTCACTTTTACCAGAAGGCTTTTGACAACCACGATCAATTTCCTGATCTGATTTAACCGAGACTGTTGCCTGTTGCTCTTCTTTTCCAGTAGATCCCAAAGGTACAGTTTCCTTCATCACAAGGGGCATAGTTTGCACATCCGCAGTTGACATCTTTGGTTTGTCGTCTCCCGTTGAAACTTCCTCTCTTGGAAATCTATGTCCATTACTCGACACAAGAGACAGGGAGTCCTTCTCATTAACCTCCACGTTTTTTTTATTTTCCACAATCTTGCCAGATGGTTTGTCCTGGTTATTACCTCCAGGAGGTAAAAATTGCTGCTGCAGCTGCACATCCAGGGGTGGAGGAGCAATGGCCCTTAGAAGTTCTTGCGGCAGTGTACCCTCTCCTTTCTGACATGAAACAGAAATGAAAAGAACATAAAGATCCATCTAAAGATGCACCAAAAGGATCTGTTAAGTTAGCATGAAAAATAAACAGAAGAAGAAGAAGAGAGAACCTTTAGCCGCCTAAATGCTAAAATTTGAGCTTTTAAGACATGCAATTGATGTTTGGTGAACCCAAATCGCTGTTGTGCTATCTGGTTAGAGTGCCCACTTTGTGACAAGGTTGAAGAATTGCTAGGACCACCATCACTAGTAGGAAGAGTAGCCTGTGGAGATGATCGATTCACCTGCCTGACATACTGTGTTTGCAAATTCTCTGGGCTACTTAATGAAGTTTTTCCTTGAAGGGAATGTTCGACACTTTGATTGACATTCCCAGATGATTCTGAAGGGTGTACTGGAGGTATTGTATTTCCAGAAACCGGTAATCTAGAAGGTAATTGGTTTTCCATGCCAGGAATGCTGAACTGCTGCATGCTGGTATGGCTAGTAACAACACTGGCATTCATGTTTTGACCAAAGGGGCTTGGTGAAGCTATCTGTCTGGCTTTCGTGCTGCTAGACTGTCCAGGTACATCACTCAATGAATTAGCATGGGCAGAAGTCTCTTTCCCAGCAAACAAAGAATTAATCTGCTGCTTTGAGACAGAAGCAGGTGATGTCTGTGATCCCATATTGCTTTCATTTGCTTTTTGTTGGGCAGCCATTCTAGACTGCATCAGTGGAATAAGCTGTGCCATCAAGTTTGCATTAGCAGGTTGTGAAAGATCAATATTGCGTTCCAGAGCCCATGCTTGCATGGCCTGCAACTGGGCCATGGCAAGCTGGTTGTTTGCCATGTTAGGGATTCCCTGTTGAGATTGTGGTGCCTGCATAGGCCTTGTCATATTCACTGGCATCAAATTGCCCATGGCAGGTAGCTGGTTAGAAGATTTTGGATCAGTTCTCTGCTCGGAAGTTGATGGCTGTCCCTGCTCCATTTGTTTTTCGCCGCGTACAAAATGATCAGATGAATTTTTAGATAATGACGTCGATGCTTGATTAGAGACTTGAGGTGGAATAAGTTCCTGAATTTTCTGATTTCCCATTCGCATATCCTGATCCTTAATAGAGTGAGGGCTCATAATTCCCATTTTAGCCTGATGCTGCGGTTGCATTGCCATAGCAGACTTCTGCTGAGCCTGAAAGGCATATTGCAGATAAGCTTGATGCATGGGATTTATCACTTGCTGCTCAAGACCTTGGCTCCTGTTTTGGCCCTCCTGAGATGAACTATGCTGCTGTTGAGCCAGATCAATGAATTTTCTTGCTTGCTGAGGCAAATGTGAGGATCCCGGTGATGAAGGAAAATTGTTCCCAGCTAATACTCCTGGGATACCACTAGCTTGATATGATAGGAGAGCTTCATTTCCATCGGACTTTCTCAGTAATTGATGTTGCAGCGACTGAATCACATAAATCAAAATTGTCAAACGCAACCCAAATTCAGTAAATAATCAGAAACTCATAAAAACTCCGCCTTGGCTTAGATGCTTGATCCAACATGAGCACAAAATCTTTGCACAGCACAGGGTCAATTCTAGAATGAAAAGACCAACTACCAAACAGAAAATCAGAAGCTAACGAACATTGATACCAATATCCTAGTCCAAACAAAAAAAGGGGAAAAAGAAATAAAGAACAAGAATGCCTGAATCGAGAACTTCACTCCAAACCCATTGGAACAAGATGCACGTCGAGTAGCAATGAATCCAACAAAAATCAAGTTCACACTTCATTTTAACCACTGGCATGACTCAATTTCCAGAACCCAACTGACAATTTAGCTAAACACGAGGAAAAAAGAAATTATAGAGCCACTTTACCTGCCTAGACGCTGCTAGCTGCTGCTGCATTGAATCAAAGCCCAAATGCGGCGTCGACACCGCCGACGAAGATGACGACGGCGACGCCGCAGACGATGTCGAAGCCGCCCGACCGGCCGGGAATCCCGGGTTCCGGAGGGGGCCACCCCCACCCGATTGCATGCAAAATCAAACCAAACTAAACTACCAACACCACTTCCACTACTTCTATACCAACCAAGAAGCCCAAACGAGGAACAGCCCCCTCTTCCCACTCCGAAAAATACAAAAATTCAAAATAAAAAAAACGGAAAAAAAGTTTAATAAATCAAAATCCCTAAAAAATTCAACGGATATATACCCTCCGATCCCAATGTTCAAAACCCTCCATCCCGCTCTATCTGCGTTTGGGCAACCAAACAAAAAAAAAAAAAAAAAACTCTCTCTCTACAGCGAGATTTTTGGAAAATGGCCAACGGGATCGGACTTAGGGCTCAACCACTGAAGCTTAGTTGACGCAATCAGTGATTGCACGCAATTTTGCATTTTTCGAAGCCTTAAATTCTTTTCTTTTTCCGATTTTTCAATCTCTCTCTCTCTCTCTCTCTCTCTCTCTCTCTCTCTCTCTCTCAAGGATTGTAACGGAGTTTATGGCTTTATGCGAACAATGAGCTTGAGTCTGGGACCGGCGTCTCTGCAGTTACATTTTCGCGATTGATTTTCTATATATTATGAATTTAGCACTGGAACCTTGTGTATTTACGATAATGACCCTACGATTTTTCTCCTTTTTCTTTTCATAGTTCTTAATTTAGTTTTGAGTTTATTTAATTATTTGTTGACTTATTGGCTCGCAAATATTAAATCCGTCAGTCGCTTCGTAAATCAAATAAATTTTTTATTTTTCCTCCAACAACAAAAATAAATAACTTATATTTAATTTTAAATTTTTAGATTTTTTTTAGTACATTTTAGGGGTGAATGATCCAACTCAGTATTCGTTTTAGCCCTTCAACTTTTAGACTATTTATTTTGTTGAGTTTTTTTTTCATTCAAACGATAAATAAGATGGGATAATTAAATTTATAATACTTTTGGCTGTCAGAGCTATTAGCTTAATGATAATGGCATATATTTTTTATCAAGAGGTTGTAAGTTTAATTTTCCACCCTACATCTTGTAAATTTGATGGACTTATCATTAGAATATTACAAGTGTGCAAATTTAAATACGTATTCATAAATCTATTATTGTAATTTATTGGTAGCTTCAAGATTTTAATATATATTGTAGATTTTGTCAATGAAAATATATGTCGTTAAATGATAGAGGATATATTAAATTGACTTTTGTTCAACGCAAGTATGAAAATTGTGTTGTTATTAAAATTGTGATTCAAACAACTGAGTAAAAACTCATAAAGTGAAATTTGTCATGGAGTTTCGTCGAAGCTATGCTAAAATCAACAAATACAATATAAAATATTAAGTACAAATTTTATCAAATACAATTTAGTTCTATCAAGACAAGTGAAGAAAAATAATAAGAAATTAAAATAGAATGACAATCAAAATAAAGCACAACTAAAAGGTATCACAAAGAAAGTGCAAACAAGATGATGAAGGAAATGAGAATCGGATAGTACATGTAGAAAATAAATCCGAACCTTTCCTATTCATGATCTCGTACATCATCAACTTAGACGAACTTTAATCGGTCTGATTGTAAATTCGACCTCTCAAATTGAGTAGCGAATAAATCCATATTTGATATTCTTAAGCTACAAATATCAAATGGCCAAACGTTCATGTAGAGGAGATTCAAACTCATACAATTTTGTTGGAGGTATACGTCAATTACCGCTGAACTATGTTCGCTTTGACGAACTTTTTTTAATACAATAATATTTGAAAATCTCTAAATATATTTAGAGAGAAAAATTAAAATATTGTCACAGCAATCTTTATGTTATTTTTTAATGGAGCATTAATCAAACAGTCCACGCAAATTATCCCGTTGCTCTACTACTACTTCCCTCAAATTTAATTAATTTATTATTATTATTATTTTTGGACTCGCAATCTTCGCCTCGCCTCTCACTCAAAAAAACCAATGAGAATTTGCTTCCCACGACGTTCTCCTCTCCTTCCCATCTTCTTTCTGATCGTAATCGCCGTCGGAATTTTCAAGGATGCCGGTTTTAATCGCTTAGTTGAGGGTGGACAGCGGCGAATCCACATTACCGATGATCTCGACGACGTGGTCGACGACGAGGAGGATGAATCTTGGAAGGAATGGGGCAAGAAAAAGACGTCCTCCAGCAATTTCGACTTGCCGGCCGCCGATTTGTCGAAGATGGAGATTTCGGAGATTCAGGCTGAGATGATCAAGCGGCGTTCAGGTCCGGCTATGGGATTTGTGAAGCTTCGGCTGGGCGTTCGCCGGACTGCGGTAAGAAAGTATTTCTACATTCTCCTTCCGGAAAGTGCTACACAATCTGACTCCGCTAGTCAATCGGTTCCGGTACTGAAATGATTTTAAATTTCGAATGCAACTCGAATCTGATTTTAGGACAGGGAATCTGTTTAACTGATGCTGAAGTTGGAACGAAAAACCTTGAAAATCTGGAAGAAAGCGGTAGTACAATTTAAACGATGTGTTTTCTGTTAATTGGAATTGTATATGGCTTATAATTGGAAAATTCGGCGATTAACGTCTTCGTATGATAGCGTTTTACCAGCATTTTTGGCTCTTGATTTCAGGACTTGGTGGCTGACATTGCTATGCAGTGGACGAAAGTTCTCAAAACTGGATCCGTTGAGGCACATTTTATGGCGGTCGACCTTAATACACTCATGTTCACGATGAGCAGAGGGCAAGACATAGATGAGGTACACTACTTCAATTACCAAAATCTGAAACTGAGACTCATCAATTGCTCTCCAATTTGTCTGAAAGAATAGTTTTTACACCTAGCTTTGGTAGTTGTGATCTAATTCGAAAGCCCTATATTCAATTCCTATCAAGTTAATCAGTTCCGGAACATATTAATCTTGTCATTTAAGTTCGATCATAATTTTTTTTTATATGACTGATTCTGTTTTTGTATTATCAAACTCCCACATTTACATTGAGTAGATACAGATGGGAAGAACAACTTAGGTTCCAGCCTCCATTGACTGGGTCATTTTTTAACATTTCGTTGATATCACATTTCGAAAATAAGTAGATTCTAGAAATGTTTCACATTAGAACATAGGTCGAGCTCAAATTTTCCTCTACCATATTAAGTAATTACGTTTCCTTATTTTTGGTGGTTTTCTAGTAGACCCATAATCCATTTAATAAATAGAACGTGTAAAAACCGACCATATAAGGAATTGAGGATGAGCTCAAATGGTGAAGTTGTTGTGTTGTAACCTAAATAAGTTGTTTGTTAAGGACTAGCTTCTTGATTCCACTTTTTACTCAGAAAACTCGTTGGATAGAACACCTTTTCCCCCATTATATGCAAAACTACAGTATTTTTCAATGTTTATCACTCAAATTTATGGTACTGCAGACTAATAAAAACAAAAATGTAGTACCAAGAACATTATTCCTCACACCCAGTTTTGATCATCTCTGTTCTGGGCTGTTCCTCTGTTTTGATTTTCGGAAAGTAACCCATCAAACATAACTTCCTAAGTAAATCAAACAATTCATTGCTCCTCAAAATGGGAACGATATCGAGAATAGCTTTTCGAATTCATTCTTCTCAACTTTTTTTTCTCTTTTTGGTAATGTTATTTTACATTGTGAGAGCAGTTGAAGGAGTATGTGTTGAGGCAGCCAGAGTCATACGAGATCAAAATTGGGGACCAAGTATTTCGAAGGCCTGGAGATCCTCCTCTGCAGGAAGTCATTGAGATGCTCCGGAAAGATAAGAACAAAGCTGAAGACACCAATCCTTCAGAAAATGTTGAGCCATTGCACCAGGAATTGTAGTGCTCATACATGGTATGAATCTTTAACTTGAAGCTTGATCTGGGATTATTTGATCTGTTGATTTGTTTTACTTCTTAGTATTGTTTGTAGCCAAGCATGAAAAATATGGGGAAAGTCATCTCTTGCAATCATAAGACAGATGGTAGTTTTATCATGACAAGTCAAGTAATGATAAAGCCAAGCTTATCAATTTACGGGTTGATAAAACCTCGTGTTCCAAAGGGACTAGGAAAAATTGAGAAGGAATGAGTTAAACCCTGTGATGACCATTTACCTTAGAAATTAATTTTTATGTGTTTCTCGACACCAAATGTTATAGGGTCAAGCAATTGTTTCGTGAGTTTAGTCAAGGTGCACACAAACTGGTCAAAACAGTCACATATATATAAAAAGTAAAAAGGATCATATTTTCTTTTAAAATAAACTATAAGTTTGGTTTCTAAAACAAATATTATTGAAGTACGGGTTAGATTTCAAAGCAAATACATTATTTATTTTAGGTTTAAATATTAATTTCGACTTTTGGTTCATTTTGATACTCTATAGTTTGGTTCCTATATTTTCAACTTTTGTTCATTTTAGTTCTTATATTTTTGAAACACTAACTTATCTATGTGCTTTAAGAAAAGTGACTATTTTGACCCCATCATTTTTATATTGTTTAATTCGTTCCAAATTTTAACATGATATTTTACTTACTAAAGTTCTTGAAATGTAGCAATAAAGTTGTGTTCAAATTCTTTCATTGTATATAAAATTTGTATTAAAATTTTACAAATAGGGATAGATACTGTCACTTTTTAAAAGTACGAGACCAATGTGAACGTTTTGAAAATGAACAAAAATTACATGGACTAAAATAGACATTTTAAAAGTACATAAACTAAAATGAAAGTACATGTATCAAGATTGTATTTAAACATTTATTTTACAGTTGATTAGAATATGGAACAAGAAAATGTAGGTTCTTTTTGTTAAGTTAGAAGAAACTAATGACATTTTGTTTGTAAATTTAGAGCAAGTTAAAAGAAGTTTTTTAAAATACAATGTATAAAGATAGGATTCGAACACACGATCTTCTTAACCAACTTCTTAACCAATTGAATTATGCTTAGATGAGTTAACTTTTAGTAACTAAAAACTATATTTAACCATTCTATCTTAATATGTTAATTCGAAAATAAGAAAAAATAAGATTATATTATGTGAAAATAACGACAATTGTGTACTATCTCGTTTAAAAAGGAAAAAAATTTTGTGTATGTCCCTACATTTTAAAATCTCACACTATTATTATTATTATTATTATTATTATTATTATTATTATTATCATCATCATCATCATCATCTTCAAAATTTTAGAAATAAAACGACAGTTAGCCATTGAGAAAAATAATGGAAATTGTGGAAATTGATAGAAATTTTTTGAATTAGCAAATAAAACTTGAATTGTAGCTTAATTAACCTATAATTGACCATTAAATGTAAGAATATGACTATTTTACTTATGAAAACGTCAATGTCTGGAAATATCGAAAAAAGATTTTTTCCTTTAATGAAAATTGGTGGAAATTATTCGAATATGTGAAGTAAACTTTAATCGTAAATTTTTTACTACTTCTTTAATGTTTTTCATAATAGAATTTATTCGAAAATGAGATAATTACCGACTTGGTTTCCAAACACATTTTAAAATTCTAATTAACTCGTACCGGTTTACTTTTTACCTACTTCTCTTTTCAAATTTGAATTTACACATTTTTCAAACACATTTTCAAATCAATCATCAATCCAACTTTCCAACCAAATTTACACAATTTTCAAACACCTCAACCTTGTGATTGTGTCTTTCATCCAAATTATCTATCAATGGGATTCATATGTGCTTCATATTTTACTCATTGAGCAACTACCTTCAAAACTTTCAGTCTAGGATGATCGGGGAGAACTATTGTAATTTATATCAAAGTTATCAAGATAGTGCACTAGATCCTCCGATATCATATTTTTGGTATTAATTAAGTTACCTATTCCACTTTATGTTTCACCACTATTTGTATATAATACTATTTTATTTTTAAAAAATTATAAGATTATTTCAATCTTTATATATGCCAATATTTCACATATATTGTTCAATTGTGTAAGTAGGACTAGATTGGATTAGAAATTATCAATAAAGCAAATTCCAAATCTTATTAATTATATTTAAAATTCGAATGTTTCATTAAACAGACTAAGATTACAATCATCGAAGTTATGAAAAATTATAGACTATAGCGGCATAGTAAGAAGATGATGAAAATAAAATAACATTAAAGAAGAGGGAAAAAAAAAAGACATGTCAACATTTGAGTCGATATGTCCATAACATGGGGGAAAACCGACTTTTCCCTCGTATATCGATGTTGACATGCTACCAATTATTTTTAGTTGAAAATTTGATTGTAATGTAATATTAAAAAGAAAAGGGGGACTAGCAAATTTTGTTGAATTAACTTTTTGAATGATAATAAAAATAAGGTTTAAATAATATATTGATCTCTGTACATTCAACATTTGTTTTTCGTCCATGTAATTTCAAAACATTAGTTTTGATTATAGTACTTTTAAAGAGGGACTACTTTGGTCTTTATTTGTAATTTTTGAATTAATGAAAATGATTTGATACGAATTTATGATTATATATAAAAATAAGTTAACAATTAAAGTGTCATAGCTGAAATATTGATAAATAAAAATAAATTCTCCCTTTTCAACATGGAAAATGTTATAAAACAAGGAGAATGAATAGAACTTTTTATCTATAACGTGAAGAAAATATGATAACTATTAAATCTTATCCTCTATTTTACAGGTAAAAGAGGGTACTTTGTGAGATAAACGAGATCAAAATAAAAGTAAAGAGATCAAAATTGTTCTTTTTACTGTGGTCGAGGATGTTATTCCTTTAATTGAATTTATCAGAATTTTTTTAATGTTATTTACTAAAATGAATTCGGTATCGAAATATTAAGTTGAAATCGTATCATGACCCAAAATTTTCTTTCGGTAAAATGCATCGAATATCAGATTCAGACTCCACAAAGCGACAAACTCAACCTGCTGTAGCGGTTACGCTATCTGTTTTGAAAATATGTATCACCGGTAACCGCCGGTTTCCATCATTGCTTTCACACATTTAACAAATTCCATTCTCCCAAAATCCCTCTTACATTTCCCGAGCCACTTTCATCCTTATCGTCGCCACGTCGCCGTTCGTCGCAGATCTCCGATCGCCGCTCTCTCCCCTCGGTTCGTCTCCGCTACTGTTCTATGCAGCTTGATTGATTCTTTTCTCTTTTCTTTTTGGATCGACAAGTTGTCTCGTTGATTATTGCTTTTTTTTTTCTTTCACCTGTTTGATGGATGATATGATCCGCTCTGTTTGGTAGCGATCTTTGTTGCCGATTGGTACGGTTTTGGATCCGTTTATTGTTGGATCTTGAATACCTATCTGAATGGATGAATATACGACCAAGATGTATGATTGTATTTGCGTTTGTGCAATTGCGATTTGATTGGTAATTTATACTTTTGCAGGTCTAATTTTCTCAATTAGATTGAATTGCGTGATTTTGTTATCTTAGAGTGATAATCGGGTAGTATCTTATTGTTTGCCTTGTTGTTTCCGTTTCCGTGTATGAAGAAGATGGTTTTACGACTTATTACTTTGTTCCAAAATTTTGCGGAAGAAAGGTTGTTATACGGTCGAATTTTGCATCTGGATTTATGTGCTGTTATCTTTCTTCTTTTTAATGAGACTGTTAAGATGTGTTTTCCCTTGCCAGATTCTGTGAGGTTTGAATACACGAGGAGACTCCCTTAAGATGGCAGATGCCGATAACGATGGAGAAGAAAACACCTCTCGTGGAAATGAATGGGAAGTTGTTTCACTCACTGCTTCGGCGTATGAAGCTGCTCCTGGTGTGAAGGAAGATGAATCAATTGATGAAAATAAAAGCAATTTGTATGAAGCAGAAACTTCCAGTGCCCTTTTTATGTCTCGTCACTTTGTATTTCCACCAAGTCAGCACGAGAATTTGCCACTAGAACCTGATCAGAGCGAGATTCATAATGATCAAGGAGGTAAGGAGAATGTGGTGTCTGATTGTTCTCCAGTAGATGGGGGGAAATCTGGTAGAAAGAATGAAGACAGCTTGAATTTAGAAGGGTTGGATGAGACTGATAAGTTTTCCGAGATTGATAAAACCATGGAGAAAGGCAGCAAATTGTCTTTTCATGATGGTGATCTTGGTGACGACACGACCCTACAAGATTTAAATCTGATTGACAAGGAGCAGGATCCCTTCGGTGCTCCTACATACAGTTCTTTTCACGGTGAAACCGATCTCAGTTCATCAACGTTTGGTGAAATCCCTCCATTGGAACCTACTGATCAAATCTCAACTCCAGAAATCTCAGAAACTTCAAGAGTTGACGATAAAGGCAATAAGTCCACCCTTCCTTGTGGTGCTTGGTGGAAGAGAAGAGCTGCTAATTTATATTCTCATGCGAAGGAAGCAAACGCATTTTGGTCCGTTTTCATTGCAGCAGCTGTTATGGGACTTGTAATACTTGGGCAGCGCTGGCAGCAGGAAAGTTGGCAGACTTTGCAACTGAAGTGGCAGATTAGTGTAAATGATCAGGTATGTTGATTCCTGTTGCCTCCATTTGGTATCATTCTGTTTATGTTGGTTCTGCTGCTTTGCTATCATTCCGTATGCATCTATTATGTATTTTAAGTTTCATATTTCAGTCTCTGGATTAAGAATAGGAGAATTTAGTCTAATCTCAACAAAAGCAATGGTACTGACTACTTAGATCTTAAAATAGTAACACGTAGATGATGAGTGAAAAGTTTCACTTGTTTAGGATGGTTTATCTTTGTTTACATTTCCTTGGTATTTAGCCTGCTAGCATTTCTTTGAAGAGGCACATGGTGCTCTGACTTGAAGTTGAACTGCTAGGCTTAATTTTTATAAGTAGAAACAATGCGAACGAGCTTGTTGGTGGCACAAATTCTGAGACCTACGAAACCAGATTGAGTATCTAGTGCGTTTTGTTGGCGATAGGGATTCAATGAAAAACGAAGTTGTATTTTATAGTTTTAAAATGAAATTAAGTTGTAATATGAAATAGTATATTTATAAAAAAATTTAAATTAATTAACTTAATTCTGCATTTTAAAGTTTCAAATTCAAAATCTGAAAATATAGAACATGTTTTCAGAATTTACACTATTTGGTTCAGAGAATCTGAAAATAGTTTTCAATAATAAATTTGTCAGATATATATCCCCTGAATCTTCAGTGAATTTGAAAACAAGAATCAGAATTCAAATGGTGTACCAAGCATTCCATAATTCTGATTCTGATTAGGGGAACTTATTATATGGTTACAAAGTCAAATCTCTATAGTGCCCACTATTTTCCAAGCTTCATCTTTGCAGCTGCTGAGGAAATATATGCAAAATTCCACCTTAAAATTTCTAGTTCTTAGTTTTGGCTTGTGGAGAAAAAATAGAAGGAAGAACTGTGATATATTCATTATGGTAACCATCTGTTGCAAGTCCTTTTTGAAGTGATGTCAGTTCAAACTATTGGGTTGTGGCTTCTTCACTTGACAACCACACACAGGTCATTGCCATCGATTACATGTTGATTAATAACTTGCTTCCATCCTTCTCTCGTGTTCGTGGTCATGCAGTAAATGTTCTGATTCAATTTCTGAGATGGTAGTATAGAAGTTTACTCGTCGGTTGCTCTGCTCGCATTACATTGTTATTTGAAATTGTAACTCTTGCTCGCACCATGGTTATATAAATGCACTATCATGCCTATTTTAGGAGAGATATTTGCTTCCATTCTCACGTTTATATCTTATGGCCTTAATTTTCACTGTACTGCTGCAATTACTGCAGACAAACAGAGTGCTGGGACCGATAACTCGGCTCAAAGACGTGATCGTGGGTGGGCAACGCCGTGGCTCGTCCATCAAGTTCAGCCCCAGTAGTGAGTTATAAGATGACGACGATAAGTGTAGAAAGAAAGGAACAGAAAGAAAGAGGTTTGTTAGTTGAATGTGCCTGGTTGTCTTTGGGCGTCTTTCAAATTTTACACACAAGTACTTTTGGGGAACATGTTGAAGTCTGATTGTTTAAATTATATCTTATCATGGTGGTATAGTACCAATATCGCATTGTACATTAGCTTAATCAATTTGATGATATGTAAGTTTTGGAGGTCCTTATATCTAGGGCTCATTTTCTTTTCGACTTGGTCGAGAATCGCCTTGCAAATCAGATTTAATTACATATTAATCTTGTTCATTTAACTTTAATATGCATTTATTTGAGTGTTAGGCCAACCCAAAAGACCAATGAAACCAAATCTAGTACTGCGCTTGTTGACCAAATTTTCTTTAGTGTAAAATTCAAAAGTGGGTCGGTAGTGTGGTTAGAATGGATCTCAACCGGTTGGGTTTGGCATCAATTTTTTGAGGTAAAATATTATCTTCTTTAGGTTTTCGATTTTCTATTCACTCGTGATCTAGCTTGGTCGACTTGATCATGATAATCTACCCTAGTCGATCCAATCATCATCATGATATTAAAAGGTCAAATCTTTTCTAAAAAAATACTAGATCTTGAGAAGAGTTGAAGATGGTGCAAGATCAAATCTTCTGGAAGTGAGAATATGAAAAGCACAGTAATTTCCCTCGAATGGGAAAGCTAACAAGAGACTAAAGTTTCTCATAGCATTAAGAAGAGCAAGGAAGATGAGAAACAATAATTGAATTAGTGATTAGGCTTGGAGCAAAGAGGGGGAACAAACAAACTTCTTATTATAAGAACAAAGAACAAAGTAAAGAGTAGGGGCGTGGAATAATTTGTATGTGGGGGTTTTTTTTTCTCCCTTATCTATCTCTCTCTCTCTCTCTCTTTCCTTTTTTTTTTTATTTTTTCCTTTTTCAAATTTTTCTTTCTTTTTGAAGCCAACTCAGAAAGCTGTTGCTAGAAGGAAAAAGAAAAATTGATACGCCATTTGAGGATGGGTGGGGTTTTATAGTTGCTAAAACTTGCCTGTTTTCTCTTTTCCTCCATAAAATTTGGCAACTGATGGGATTTGACTTTGTTTACTATTTGTAGACATAGAGGCCATCCTCCATTTGATTTAATCAAGGACTTTTTCTCCAGTTGAAAAGATGTTCCACACTAATGTGCCCATGATGTACAATACAACTGCCACCTTGAATACATCATCCCATGAACCTGCACCACCCACAACCGTGTGATCCACAATCAAATTAAACTAAGTGAAAAAAAAAAGAGTTGAATCATAAATTTAGTTCGAGAATTTTGATGGTTGGGTAGTATTTGTAATACTTAAATTTTATAGAGTTCCAATTAAGTGACATGCCTCCTGTTAGATAATTTTGGACTAATTTGATAATACAAGACTCGTTTCCTGTTTTTTAGAAATGTAAACATTTAGTAACTGTTTTTGTTAAATATTTCCACAATTGTGTAGAAATTTTGAAAATAACAGATCAAATTTCTCGTTTTTTTCCCATTTTCAATTTTTTCCAGAACATAAATAAAAGCATTGCTTTATCATTCTTAACTTATAAAATGCAGGATCAAGATTAAAATATATATATATATATATATATATATAATATACAAATTTTGAATATTTAATTTTAAAAATTAAATTTCATATA